CGAAGTTTCCGTACTCCCCCTCTTCACTGTTCTCTTCCCGGCTTGCTGCGCGATACGTCTTGCAAATTAGTTGGATGTGCGCAAGTCTTGAAATAAAAACGACAACTTATAAAATAGCTTTGAATCTTGAAAATGATATTCAGTTAAGGCTAAGAGGTGTTTTTTACGCACTTTAACTCCCAGATTAGTTTATCATAAACATTTTCTTACACTGTCTGTTTCGTCGTCGGTGGAATGCAGTTTTTTCACCTGACCTTGACCTTAAAATCGGCAACTTTCCGCAAGTCCTTCAGTTCATGAGCTGAACAGTTTGTTTGCCTTTTATCCAAACTCAAAATGAGCTTGTTGCTTTCCTAAGATATATACGTTTATTATACAGCTAGATAAGATATCTAAATTAATTTATGTGTCGATCAACAGGATACAACATAGGCTAGATCTATGCAGTGTGTCAGGTGTGACTTGGGGCCTATGCTATGGTTCGGAAAACTCTCTGCAATGTGCAACCCAAAAATACTGACTCAGTTTCCCATGCGCTCTCTTCTACCCGTCTACTTCATACCAGTATTGGTGTCTCTAGACGTATATGGACAGATACAGATACAGTGTATGAAAATACAACACAATTTTTTTAAATCAGATTTGACTTTATGTTAAAAATAAATAGATTTTTGCCTATGAGTTGTGTCCCAAATATCTTCCAGATTTAACCATAGAAGTAGAGAATGATTTAACCAAGTAAATTCTAAAAGGAAAAGATCAATCGCGCCAAAGGACGCCGCGAATAGGCGGCCCCGAATAGGTTTCAAATTAAAATACAGTAAGTATAGGTTAACATGAAAATACTAAGCGAAAAAAAAAAAAAAAAGCGTATTTAATAGTAGGCCTATAAAGTGTTTTGACGTACATACAAATACCCCCCCCCCCCAATCCATCCCAGATTCCAATATTAATTAAGTTTAGGCCCACTAGCTATAATATAGGACCTATAGGCCTATATATAGGCCTATGTCCATGTATTGTCAAGCGACCAGTAGACCTATTTAGGCCTACAACCGATTTACTCTGGCTCATCTCTTTCATTGGTAGGCCTACGTGGTGTCAACAAACGCCTCAAGAAAAGTATTTCCTATAGGCCAAATCGCCGTCACCTTAACAAGTTTTACAAGAACGGAAAAGACTATATATTTACAAATGGGTCGTAAATTAGAGATGGGAGGGGGAATACGTAAAAAAAGATCGTTCTCACTTTGCCCGCTGGGCCTATAAATAAATGAGGGAAATGGGGTGGGTCAGATGCCACAGCCCAAAGGAGGTTGAAGTCAGTGAGCATAGTTGATAGATCCGGTACACAACCTCAAATTGAATGTCCGACAAATTTATAGACTCCCAAATGAGTAGGCCTACGCTACATTTNCATTGGTCCGAAGGGTTCTATAGTGAACATTCGGACCAATGAACCTTCGGACTATTGAACCTTCGGACTATCGCTACGGCCCCCGTCAAGCGACCAGTAGACCTTTTTACAACCGATTTACTCTGGCTCTCTTTCATTGGTAGGCCCTACGTGATGTCAACAAACGCCTCAAGAAAAGTATTTCCTGTAGGCCAAATCGCCGTCACCTTAACACATTTTACAAGAATGGAAAAGACCATAGGGCCTATATTTACAAATGGATCGTAAATTAGAGATTGGAGGGGGATACGTAAAAAAAGATCGATCTCACTTTGCCCGCTGGGCCTATAAATAAATGAGGGAAATGGGGAGGGTCAGATGGCACAGCCCAAAGGAGGTTGAAGTCAGTGAGCATAGTTGATAGATCCGGTACACAACCTCAAATTGAATGTCCGACAAATGTAGACTCCTAAATGAGTAGGCCTACGCTACATTTGAACCCGTCTCCGAATTAAAATAAGGATAGGCATATCCATTAAACGGTTCGTTGTTTTGTCCTGTCTATACCAATGTTATAAAACAGTCTGTCGCCAGAATCCAAGGGAGACATATATATTTTATCAGACCGAAAGAGTGTAGTTTTTTCCTTTTGTTTGAAAACACGTTACAAACGTAGGCCTAATCAGAATACCTCTCAATTAAGACTGTTCAGCTGAAGAGCAGAGGAGAATTATCTCTATTTATGTATTTATCATTGTCATTCACGTTTTGGTAAGAAAAATAAACCCATTAGGCCTACTATATTTCCATATTCGTCATATGCATGGGAGAAGAATGAGAAGAGATAAACTGTAAGAAATTGAAAGTATCGAAAGGACCTTTTCACCTAACAAAATCAAAATCGATATGTTTTTTTTTTTTTTTTTTTTTTTTTTTTTTTTTTTTTTTTTTTTTTTTTTTGTACCGTCTCTACTTTAATGCTAATCCTTACTTAACTCAAATTCTGCAATTATAGAAAGTTTGTTACTAAGTCCGTGGGTAACAGCGCATTTACACTTGGAATCAGATTATAACAGCCTAATTAATGTCATATTCACTCCTGGCCACTGCTGTGCACGTTGAAAAAAAGACCAAAAGATCAGCGCTGACATATCGGATTGGGAGGTGGCCTTGAAGATGTTTTTTTTTCTTTTTCTTTTATTCTGATAAAGAGGACTCGAATTTATTTTGTTCTCTTTTCTCTCAATAACTTCGGAATTCTTTTTTTTTTTTTCAGTTTTAAAATTATATCACAATCGCTACATGGTTAGACGTGCTTCTTGCATTTCTGAAATCTATCATGAAAAACCACACCAAATAATGTTAGATGTATGAGGCCTAATCCTCCTACTACAGTGCCATCTCCGCCGATTCCATGAAACTGAAAAAGCCGTATACGTAGCCTATAGTCCGGGTGGGCCATTTTGGATCCTTGTCGCCGCTGATTTTACTCTAATATATGAAGTTAGCAGATATTAACCAGTTTTGAGCCCTTTGGCTTACATTACCTTTAATTAATTCTGTTACAGGAAACGACCTAGCTGTAACGACGGATCGACCCCCCCCCCCCCACACACACACACCCATCGGCGCCTACTTCAAAATTCATATCTCTGACAGAAATTACAGTATCTATTTCCACGCCAGAAGGTAATTTGCAGTTCTGGGAAATAGGTATATATTATCTCTGTAATATTGAAATCAACCATGTATCCAATTTGGTAGATTATTTTATTATAACTAGATTATAGTAGTTGTCTCACATTAAACATAAATATAAATAGATATTTTAACTTCTACCTGACCTCGTAGATAACAAGCTTCAACAGCAATTATCTGCTATTACCGATTTAAAATTATATCCAATTGAAATGTTGAAAAGAAAACATACGGGAAAAAAATCCAACTTTAAATTTCCCGCACATAGACAGAAATGAAACTTTTAAAGAAAGTAGGTTATCAATAAAGGTAAAGGTCGAATGGTCACGTGATCAAACTATCATGGCGGAGCGAGGAACATTAAATTTCGCAAATAAGCTTTAGATTGCTACGAAATGTCAAGCAGACGACCTAAAAGGCCTTCTTCGGCTCGAAGAAACATAAAGCAGGAAACATTTTCATCATTTGTCAGGTAAGTATCCATTTGATGCACAGCGCTGCTCAGCATTAGCGCTTGAAGTGCGGTTGCCCACCACGCTAAGAATAGGCGCCAGCGTTTAAAATTACCTTGTATTTGCTAACAACTTTATACGATATTTTCTGAGGTTATGTAGCAATATAACTTGCACCCACGGATGATATGAGGTTCGTATTTGGCTTAGTTTTAGAACTGCTCTTAATTTACACCAGATGAACGTGTTATAACAGTTTTGTGTCGTGTGACACACGAGAACAAACACAGCTCGGCAATGTTTTGGATTTGAAAATATAGCAAAGATTTCAAAGATTTACAACCCATGATATGTCCTTGAGTCAATGGTTATACCATGGTTAATTTCACCATCATGCTTATGTTGAAACTGAGCATCATGATATTCCAAGAAAACCATAAGTTGGGTTTGTTATTCATCTTTGACTTGGGT